ATACTACCATATCAAATTTTCACTCCTTAACCCCTTACTACCAAAAGCAAAAAAAGGAGGTTTGGGCATTGCATTTTACAATAAATCATCCATATTATGTTTAAATCAATCTTAATACACTTGTACTACTATTTTAACCTATAAATATTTACAGGTTATATAAACAATATCTCAAGGCTTAAAATACATTCTAAACATAATAAACAACTATATAGTACAAGTATAAACAAAACGCATCCTAATTAGCAATATACTTATCCATTACATAAAATAATTAAGAATGAGAGTTTTACAATAGGAACCCTAAATTCTTAAGCCTTTTAAAGCTTTTTCCCTTTCTACACATGAGCAAGAGCCTAAAAAATATTGAAATAGAGGGGTGAGTCTAGTCACTTAGCAACCAAGATACACCTACCCTATGTAGTTGTATATTAATTGAATAAACACACATAAAGTGAATTAATTACTCAAAAACATAAAATTGCATATGGTCCAAGTTATAATCTCACAATTCATTTCAATTTCACATGCATAATCTCTGTTGTAGAGTACATTACCACAAGACACACAGATATATGATAATGACTCAAATTATTATGACGACTTGTCACAAACTTAAACAATCATGTGACATGTCAAATGATTATATAAGTATGATCAAACCGCTTTATACCCTTCTTATATCTTCTCATTGAAATTATGGCTTGTAATGTCAAACAGGGCTCTGTCCGTATGACTAGACTATCAAAGTTAATCAATTGTAAGGTATGACCTAACTAAAGATCACAAGACTCATTCTCAAACCATAATTTCCCCCACTCTCAAATCTCTAAGATATCATATACCCTAAGCTAATCTCCTCAATAAATTGGTAGAGATAGTTAGGTTCTAGTCCCTCAACAAACTATGGAACAGTCTCTTGATAAATTATGGGACAAGGCTATACTCTCATGCACCGAAAGGCAGTCAAAAACACTATATGGATTTTAACTACTTCTCTCTTTAGGCGAACTTTCACCAATTGATCATGCAATATACAACGCTCACTCATTTTCACAATTCCATTTATTCAATATTAACACATTAAGCTTAAGATGATAACCATATTGTTTTCACAGACATTCTTCACTTTACTACATCATCAATTTCTTCATCATTGCATAATTATCACGTCACATAACATCATACTTCTCATCCCAAAACATGTACATAATCAAAATTTTGAAAATCACTTTAACTTTAATTGCACATTTCAAATCAAAATAAAACATTGCGTACTTACAATTCAATCAGTCAACAAGGCTCATGACATGTTCTCATGTTCACAATTAAATCATACAAGCGAATATGCACATTTTCATAATTAACACAATTAACAAATAATTACCCAAAATAGGATTTCCCTAGTTATCTCAAACCTTTGAGAAGTTAAAAGTTTACTCTTCAATAATTAGCTTTCAAACTTGCTTCCTTAGCCAAAAGTGGTGCTCGAATGATTAATCTATAATTAATCAAGTCCAACCTCAATTAATATTGCTACAAAATATATTTAACTCTTATTTTCCATTTTTAAAATATCTAATGCCATATTTCTCATATTTATGCCTACCATTAAGTTTATTAACTCTTTTTAGTTTCATAATCATCGATGAATCATTAAACATCTATTAATGACATTTCAACTCCTCCAACAACCTTCATTAATGCCATTTTTAGATATTTATGGCATTCACCAACCAACAACTTTTAAAACCATTAATAATTATTTTAAATACTATAAACAACTTCCATTAACTCCATTTGAGTTAATAGGTTCAAACTCATAATTTATATAAATTGACAATAACCTCCCACTATCAAAACCTAATAAAAAACCTCAAGAAAATGGAAGAGAAAGGGAGATTAAAGCTTCTTGCTTGCTCTTCATTTTTATTTTCTTTCCTTTCTAATTTTCACATCAGTTCATGACTAAAAGATTATATAATTTAGCCATAAGCCGTGACGCATGACACAGAGAGGTCATTCTCTTTCGTTTGTCATTTGCATAATGCAACATGTGGCACAAAGACACTTCCTTCATGTTCTCTCTTTCTTTCAATGTGGCCCGACTTCACTTCGAACCCATAATTAGGGCTAAAATCACCTTCGAATACACTTATTGGACCTCTCCAACTATACACCACGTCAATCATCAATAATCATGATTAAACTTAGTTAATTAGGGTCAAATTTTCCTAGGATGTTACAGCGCCCGTATGAGAAAAGTTTTAGGACATTTTGCCCTTTTGCCCATTATTTTTTTAATAATATTCATGATTTGATTATCTTTTATTGATTTTAATAATATAGTCAGAAGCATGAAATATTAACTAGGGAGAATTGCATTGCAAGCCCTAAAAGCTAGCATATTTATAGGCCCAATAAAATATGAAATAATTCTCCCTATTAACTATATTCTCCCCTCCCCCTTAAAATGGAGCAAATACAAACCCCTATACAACCACCTTTTTAATTACATGAGGTATGGAACTCGTAACCTTCTTGTTTCAAAGGAATATGAGGTGGCATTCAACTATGAGTCTTCTGTTAGCCGTCTTCCTTTATTGTTTGGGAGAGAACGATAGTTAGATTATGAAAGAATGAATTAATGACATTTAAATTTTTGGTAAAATGTTTTAAAACATAAATTATAAATATCAATTTAAATAATTATAAATAAAATTATTGTTACAATCTAAGAGTTATATTTAAATTTAAATACTTATTTAAATTAAAATACTAAATTTGTAATTATTTGAATTATATTTTTGACTTTTTTAAATTTATCAAGTACTTATCTGTCATTAATTTAATACCAAGACATAAGTCTCTTTTGTCCCTATTTTAATAGGTAAAGGTGCATTTTTATTCTTGAAATATTTTTTGAAGAGCACTCAGCACTTTAACATTTTGTTGAAGCAATTTTATTCTTCTTTTTATTTTTAAGCATTTAATCTCAAAATAAGAAATTGTATTGATAATAAAGTATCAAAAAAGTATATTCAATTAACAATTAAATAGAAATGGATAAACAAATAATGAATTTCATCATTTTTATGGTTACTTCTTAAATGGCGACGTCCTCTCTATACATCAAAGCTCCTTCTCTCATTTAATTAATGTTATTATTAATTTATACAGTTCACACCTTTTAGCTCCACCCATAAAATAACAAGTTATTAAAATAGAGTATTTTTATCATTTCTATCAAATTTTTAACACTTAATGTTTAAGGTCAACATTAAAATTTTAATAAAAAAATAAAAATATTTTATTTTAATAATTTTAAAAATAAAATTATTTTAATAAAATATTAAAATATTGAATGGCCATCTAAAAAAATATTTTAAAAGCAGAACATCCTCGAACTTTATTTAATCAATCAGTGCGGCGCACTTGCTCCGAAATGCCCTTGGTGGGCCCTCCTATGGTCCTCGTCAAACTCAAAAGTCCCGAGAAGCATCGTGGCAGTTTCGACGACCGAGTGACGTCAGGCGTATAAAGAATTAAAGATAGGCACATTGATTGCATACTTTTTCATTCAAATTATAAAATATTTTTTAAAAAATTTAATTTTTTAAAATATAAAACTTTAAAAAAATTTTATTCTACTATTATTATTTTTTATAATTAATTTTTATCTTTTTAATATATATTAAATGGTGAGTATTTTAAAAATTTATATTTTTATTTTAAAAAAAATAAAATTATTAAATATATATAATAAAGTTTATTAATATATAAAGTATTTTTTTTTATATTTACAAAGATGCAGGAAAATTACATAAAAGCAAAGGAGGTTGTTGGTTAAAAAAAAAAAAAAAAAGGCAAAAGCAGGTTTCCGAGATGTTTCATTGTTCCGCGGAGAAAGTCCGTGCAAGGTTCGTTGCAATTTCTCGGCATCTACTTGAACCGAATGTCACCCCTCTTAAAGGGCAACGAAAGGCTCGTCCCCGAGCACACTGTCCCTGCTGGCACACAGACACAAGTTCCATAGCCAAACCCTCATAACCATCTCTCTGCTCCACTCCCCTTAAAAACAATGCCAAGAACAATGGCAATCGTTGAGGAAAAGAGATCAGCTCCTCTCCCTATCACTAATTCCGATCCCGAAATCAAAATTCGCAGCGTGCTCCCAATTTTCGGTGTGATCAACATGACAATTAGCTGCGCCACAACAATCTACCGCGCCTACATAAACGGAGACATTCCGATGATAGTGTTCATCGTTTACGTGTTTTTCGGCACCTTCTTGGTGGATTATTGGTTCCGATTGTACAGTACGCTTTCCCCATCCGAGCATTCCTCGGAAACGCCATTACCTGAAAATCGGCATATGGGTCTTGGTAAGCTCCATCATGTTGGGCTTCGCTTACGAACTCTCGACTTTTTTGAGCCTCGCCATGTCTGTCTCCTTCTTTACTCTTGTACTCTGCGGCAATTCCCTGCTTTTCTATGTCTATTTCATTTGGGATGGTGAGGGGAAGAGCGCACACGCTAATAAGGCTGCGAACGCGGAGAACAGGAAAAGAAGCCTTTGCTGGAGCCTGTAGCTAAAGTCTAGAACTCCTTGGTCACAACATAAAATAATGGAATCTAAACTCATATATAAGGGATGTAACCTTCAACTTCAAGCCTTTTGTCCTAATGCTTTTGTTTTAATTACTACACTGGCTTTTGTTGTTAAGTGAGCCTGGCTATATTATATTATGATTTTATTGTACACTACTTTCCGTTTAATATAATATTATTTTATTATTTTATTACTCATTGGTCAAAAAAAAAGTGGGAAATTAAGCAACATGGAGATGCGGGGTATCGATCCCCGTACCTCTCACATGCTAAGCGAGCGCTCTACCATCTGAGCTACATCCCCGATTTGTTCTTTAACTGAATATATTAATAGATAAAATGCAAGACAGTATGCTCATTTGACCTCCCCGTTCGATTTACGTCAAAAGGAATTCGGCCATCTCGCGGGCTCGCATCTGTGCAGTAAAAGTAACAGTTTGACAGAATGCTGAGGAAACTGCTGCCTCGATCCTTCGCATTTCATCGTCGGCTCTCCCATGCCCACTTGGCTTCGCAACTGGCTGCACCCTCCGTGGCTTCTGGGCTTTCGTCTCCCTTTTCTACTCATTCGTCTTCCCAAAATCCTAACGCGCCTTTCGTCGAACAGTTGGACGATGCAGATGAGCCTCCATCTCCGCCCACTGCCACTGCAATTTCTATCGATCGCTCTGGCTTGTACAATCCACCTGGTTAGCTCCTTGAGTTTTCTTCCTCTCTCGGCCTCCATGTTTTCTTCTGTAGTCACATTCGGTTCGGGTATATATATGTTTGTATGTGTGTATATTATCCTTCTCTTTTTCATTGTTATGTGTGGCAGAGCATTCTCATGAGCCAACTGTGGATTCCGAGCTTGTCAAGCATCTCAAAGGGATCATCAAGGTTTGTTTTCTGCACTTTTTCCAAGACAGTTTTTGAAGCTGCCATTGCTTTTGTACTTTGGAGCCCGTTTTAAGTTAGTTTGAACCGTCTCTATTATGTGACTGCATTTGGCCTGATAACTCTATTATCAATTTGTTACAAAGCAACTACAAGTACGATATTTTGCCTAAAGGTGTTCTGAGGCCAGCGGATAAAATTTTCATGTCCAGAAGATACTTATTTTTATTGAATTCTCAGTTTCGTGGAGGCCCAATCTCAGTAGCTGAGTATATGGAAGAAGTTTTAACTAATCCTAGAGCTGGTTTCTACATCAATCGGGATGTTTTTGGAGCTGAAGGCGATTTTATAACATCTCCTGAAGTAAGCCAGATGTTTGGTGAGGTAAACGAGCTATTACACTTTTAATTCCTCACATCTGAGTCATGGACTAGTTGAATTTCTATATCTTCGTTTATTCATAAATTTTGTTGATGAAAGAAGGATTCTGATGGCTTGTTTATGTGAATTTAGATTATTGGTGTGTGGGTCATATGTCTATGGGAGCAAATGGGACAGCCGCAAAGAGTAAATCTAATTGAGCTAGGCCCAGGACGAGGAACTCTTATGGCTGATCTTCTTCGTGTATGATGCCACAATCCTTTTTTTTTTTTCAATTTTAATTCTGGAATTTCTGGTTCTAGACCATTTCTTTATTTTGTCAACTGAGTTTTACGAAGAAGCTGCTCCGATATTATGATAGATGAAGAAATTGTAACTTCACGTAGGGTGCTTCCAAATTCAAGAAGTTCACTGAGTCATTGCATGTACACCTGGTGGAGTGTAGTCCAACACTGCAGAAGCTTCAACACCAAAACTTGAAATGCATTGATCAAGATAATGCAGCTGAACCTACTGAGAGAAGAACTGTAAGCTCTTTGGCTGGTAACCCTGTATCATGGCATGCTACAATGGAGCAGGTTCCTTCAGGATGTATGTATTGCGTATCCAATGAATATTGGCTTTAGACACTACTGTTCAAGTAGAGTAGCATTATTTTTGTCTTCTTGTCCTTCTATGCCTCGATGTATGTGAAGTTTTTATTCCCAAAACCGTGCTATAGAACAGAAAAACTAGTTTGAGAAAACAAATAAGGACCTCGATTTTTTTTAATTGGCAGTTTGTCACCATATTGGATACCCCACCTCTTGACATTTCATTTTGTCATTATGTGCATGCATTGGTTAGAAATCTGTTTTCTCTTTGTTTCTTCACTTTGCTTTCTCTGAATGTAGTTTTCATGTCAGAATTGGCATGGCCAGACAAACATTCTGCATGTTCACAGTGGTGTTTTAATATTGAAAAAATTAATCTTTTAGTCTTTTAACTTTTAACTTGTAACTAAATCTTTTAACTATAATTCACTGCGACTCAGTCCCTCAACTATAACTCGTTACGACTCAGTTCCTCAACTTTTGACTTAATTATAACTCGGTCCTTATTTTTCAAATTTTTTTAAAAAGTATCCTTATCAAATAAGAGGGATAAAAGAAATGCTCATACCTTGCCATGAAATACCCTCCTCTTGTTCTTTGATGTGAGATCTAAGTTAACATGAACAAAGAGAGCAAACAAAAGTTGAAGAACTGATTCATAGACAAGTCAAAAGCTGAGCGACTGAGTTGCAACAAGTTATAGTTGAAGAAATTGAGTTTTAAGTTAATTAAAAGTTGAAGGACTAAAATATTAATTTTTTCTTTAATATTTATCAATCAATTTACATGCCATAAAATGAAAACAGAAAATATTTTCAGCTAGTTGTTATTTCCCTTTTAAAGAGGTGAAGGAGAACTTGGAAGTTACATAATAGAGATTTTTCTACTGAATTTTTAGCTGAAGATATTTTCATGTGAAGTTTCTAATTTCATTCTTGATAACATTTAGGTTAACTATAAGGCTGTTTTCCATGTTTTCAGCCGTTTTCTACTGAAAATAGTTTCCAGAATCAAGTAATTTCTGTAAATCAAAATGTTCTGAGGGAGATCATGGAGTGTGTTATTTTTGTGTTGCATTATGGACACCTGTGTGTTATCCTTTAGGTTAAATATAGAGATGCAGTATGCTGGGCAAAGAAATTGAATATTAGGCTGCTACATATTTTGTTAAGATATATTCTGTTTGACTTTAGGAATTATGATGATTATGTTTCAAACTTTCTATGACATCAGTCAGCTGGTGCCTGTTATTTCTCTTGATGGCTCAAATCAATCCGTCAGTCTGTGCTAGGGATAAGTTTGTTAGCCTGGTGAATTCAGAATTTAAGCTATTTGTATCTTACTTGAAATGACAAAATAAGCAACTATGACTTGTATTAATCATTGTCAATTATGATGAAGCCAAGTGGCCAACAGAATATATCGAGGTCTGAGTTTGAATTATGTATGGTGTAGACAGGAAATATCTCATTATCATATTTGGGAAACTGTCTGAGTAAGTTTTCTTTGTTTTTACTCTCCAGTGCCAACAATCATCATAGCACATGAATTCTTTGATGCCCTACCCATTCATCAATTTCAGGTTTGTGTGCTTGATTTTGTCTCACAATATCACTTTGCCTGGACACTGCAATGTATGTATAGCTGTTGTGAACAATTGAACCATAGATGATAGCATGCTTGTGCTGCTTTGGAGAATTGAATTTCGAGACATCCATCAAGCTGCTAATTCAATATGATGCCTATAATTTTTCCAACAATATATTCTGTGCCCTGGCTGTTTGTTCTCTAGCTTTCTTTTATTCATTATTCTTTCCATGATTTCTGATAGTTTATCATTTTTTGGGTGCCAAGGTAATAGTTTGTCTTTTTTATAACAGGAGAAAAACCACAAATTTTAGAGCAATATTTTAACTATACGTAGAACAGAACAGTGATTCTTTTCCATGTGACAAAGTCATGCTAGACTGGCACTTTGTCTCCCAATGTCTGCCTGTCTGAACTATGACCATGTCATACAGGTTTTACCCCTTTTGGATATGAATAGTGGGAAAAAGTAACAGTTAACCAGCAAGGTTTGAATCATCAACGTGGGTGATATTCAATAAACCCATAGTGATATGTTGTAAGCCCAAATGGTTGCTTGTCATCTTGCTTTGAATGAGTCCAGGATCATTCTTTGCAAACACACTATTTCAGTTGAGTTCCATCATGCATTATTTGTCACAAAAAATGAAATATAATTTTTCTGTGTTCACTTTTTTCTGTATCATTATTGGCACACTAAATTTACCTAAACCTGAGTGGTTTCCTGTCTGAAGAAATCATCTCGTGGCTGGTGTGAGAAAATGGTTGACGTGGCAGAAGATTCATCGTAAGCATTAGAGTGCATTCTGCATTTCCGCTTGAAATTGTACTTTTTCATAGCTTAATTAATATTTACTTGCATATATTGCACAGGTTTCGAACTCCGCCTATGTTTATAGCCGGTCCCAAGCCCGGGTAAAGGAGGAGGGTTGTGTTAGGCCATCAACAGCCAATGTAAAAATTTGTTGAATCTATCATGAACATGGACAATAGACGTTATAATGTTAATGCTAGGTCGTTGCCCGTAAGTAACGCGCTGCATGGCTCGAGTACAGTGATAAGTGAGTTAGAGCCGCTGCATCGGCGCCCGGATGTAGTGTTAAATGAGCAAGGGCTACCGCGTCATTTGGACGCACGCGGCTAAAGAAGTTAGTCCATAAGAGCAAAATTAGATTTGGTACTTGGAATGTTGGGACATTAAATTGTAAATCTGTAGAGGTTGTAGGGGTTATGATTCAAAGGAAAATCAATATCCTTTGCTTGCAAGAAACAAAATGGCGTGGAGAAGAAGCTAAGGATATTCAAGGTTTCAAACTTTGGTATACAGGAAAAGTAAGTGCACGCAATGGAGTAGGCATCATTATAGATAAGGAGTGGAAGAAGAACGTTGTAGAAGTTAGCAGAATTGGAGACAGAATTATTTCTTTAAAAATGATAATTGGACGTGAGACTGTTAATATTGTTAGCGCTTATGCGCCGCAAGTCGGGATAGAAGCCAGTCTTAAGGAATTATTTTGGGAGGATCTGGAGGGGTTGATTCGACACATACCACAGAGTGAAAAGATTTTTATTGGAGGAGACTTTAATGGGCATGTCGGGAGGGAAGCTGGTCAGTATGCGAGGGTGCATGGTGGTTTTGGTTTTGGAGAGCTAAACAATGAAGGGCAAACTCTTCTTGATTTCTCATTGGCGTATGATTTTAAGATTGCCAACACTTGTTTCAAGAAGAGAGATGAGCATCTCATCACCTACAAAAGTGGAGCCTCAAGGTCGCAGATTGATTTTCTTTTGGTTAGGAACACAGATAGAAAACTTTGTAAAAATTGTAAGGTGATCCCTGGAGATGCTGTAACGACACAACATAGGGTCCTAGTCCTTGATGTGTGTATTATGAGTAAAATCCAAAAACGTCGACAAGTAGTAACACCAAGGATTAGGTGGTGGCAATTAAAAGGTGAGAAGCAAGATATTTTCAAGCGAAATCTTTTGGATAAAGGAATTTGGGATTCTCAGGGAAGTGCTAACATCATATGGGAGGATATGGCTAAAAAGATACGGGAGGTTGCAAAAGTAGTTTTGGGAGAATCGAAAGGTCCTGGTCCGAGAGATAAGGAGTCTTGGTGGTGGAATAATAGTGTACAGGACAAAATCAAGTATAAGAAGAACTGTTTTAAAGCCATACATTTGTGTAACAATGAGGAAAATTGGGAGAGGTACCGTATGGCTAAGAAGGAAACTAAGAGAGCTGTGGGTGAAGCTCGTTCTAAAGCTTTTGAAGAATTTTATAAGAACCTTGAGACGAAGGAAGGAGAGCAAAATATTTATAAGATTGCCAAGAGTAGGGAAAGAAAATCAAGAGATCTAGAACAGGTAAGGTGTATTAAGGATGAAGAGGGAAGAATTTTAGTTACAGATGATGAAATTAAAAATAGATGGGAGACTTATTTTTCTAAACTTTTCAATGATGGAGAGGATTCATCTAGTAACTTGGAGGATTTAGTAACTGGTGAAGGAGAACAAAATTTGTCATTCTATCGAAAAATACGTGATAAGGAGGTAAAGGAAGCTCTTAAGAAAATGGCAAATGGTAGAGCTAACGGACCTGATTGTATATCTATCGAAGCGTGGAAATGTTTAGGTGAAGAAGGGGTGAGATGGTTAACTAAGTTATTTAATGTGATTTTACGGTCCAAGAAAATGCCTGATGAGTGGAGGAGAAGTACATTAATTCCTATTTATAAAAATAAAGGAGATATTCAGAATTGTACTAACTATAGAGGGATTAAACTCATGAGCCACACAATGAAATTGTGGGAGAAAGTAATTGAGCACAGGTTGAGATTGGAGACAAGTATTTCTGAGAATCAATTTGGTTTTATGCCAGGTAGATCAACTACAGAGGCGATTTATCTACTAAGGGGATTAATGGAAAAGTATCGTTGTAAAATAAAGATCTACACATGATTTTTATTGATTTGGAAAAAGCTTATGACCGTATACCAAGAGAAGTGCTTTGGAAAGCGTTGGAAAAAAAGGGAGTACGGATTGCTTATATTAAAGCCATACAAGATATGTATGAGGGGGTAAAAACTAGTATAAGAACGCCTAGTGGTCAAACAAAGGATTTTCCTATAAAGATTGGGCTACATCAGGGATCATCTCTGAGTCCTTATTTGTTCAACTTGATTTTAAATGTTTTGACGGAACATATTCAAGAGGAAATCCCGAAATGTATGCTCTTCGCGGATGATATAGTTCTTATAGCAGAGACAAGAGAAGAGGTTAATTGCAAACTTGAGTTATGGAGGAGGACATTGGAGTCGAAAGGTTTTCGTCTGAGTAGAAGTAAGACGGAATATTTATATTGTAAATTTGATAAAGGACTATTCGAAAATAATTTGGAAGTGAAATTGGGAGATCAAATTATACCTCAAGTGGAAAAGTTTAGATATTTGGGAGCCATTATCCAAAATGATGGCGAAATCAGTGGAGATATTTCACATAGAATTCAAGCTGGGTGGTTTAATTGGAGAAAAGCTAAAGGAGTTATTTGTGACCGTAAGGTGCCTAATAAACTTAAAGGAAAGTTTTATCGTACTGCTATCAGACCGGCAATGTTATATAGTAGTGAATGTTGGGCTCTAACGGGACAGCAAGAGCATAAAGTTGGAGTAGCAGAGATGAGAATGTTACGATGGATGTGCGGACATACACGTAAAGATAAAATTCGAAATGAGCACATACGTGAAAAAGTGAGGGTGGCACCTATTGAGGAAAAAATGGTAGAAAATCGGTTGAGATGGTTTGGGCATGTACAAAGAAGACCAAGGGAGGCACCAGTGAGAAGAGTGGAACATATAACTTTGAGTCCGATTAAGAGAGGTAGAGGAAGGCCTAAGAGAACACTCTTGGAAGTTGTTGAACGTGATCTCTTAATTAATAATATTTCTAAAAGCTTAATAAATGATAGAGCACAATGGCGTCTTGCAATCCATGTAGCCGACCCCACCTAGTGGGATAAAGGCTTGTTGTTGTTGTTGTATATTGCACAGGTTTCGCTTTGTACTATCTTCCCAGCCTACACCTGCAACTCTCTACCTAGTAAAGCGGTTTAAGTGGGCTGCAAATGAGGAGACTGCAAAACTTAATCAAATTGAAGTTTGCCCCAAAGCTATGGAGTTGACTCAAGCAATTGCAAAAAGGATAAGTTCTGATGGAGGTGGGGCTCTAATTATTGACTATGGCTTGAATGGAATTGTCTCGGACAGTCTCCAGGTCTGTAGCTTAATCTTGAAGTATCTCTTTTTTTAGGCTATGTTTGGCATATGGAAAAGAAGTTTGAGGAGAGTAAAAAGGAGTGAGAAAATATTTTCGTTGTGTTTGGTAGATGGCAAAAGGGCTTTCTTTGGTAGAGAGTTTTCCATGTTTATGGAAGAGAGATTTTCCGTTCGACCATTCCCATACTGTACCAAGTAGGTCCTGTGTGTCTCCTCTCTTTGGGCAGGCCATGGCCAGAGGTTCATTGTTTCATGTCTAGTTTTTCAACTGACACTCTTACAGAGGAGAAAACTTGTGCTTAGATCCTTTGTGTCCAGTTTCCCAATAAAAATAATGCCACTTGGTCTTCTTTAATATCTCAGCACTTGACTTGCTCATACTTTTAAACATGTTAGCACTTGAATTACTTACTATGATAAATCCCCCGTTAACTATTAAAACAACTTCAAAAAAATCAAGAACCTATCTTTGCACTGCTTTCTATCCCTACTGTGATCTTCCTTTTCACCCTTCTCAAAGCATTTGTCTGCAAGTCCTTTCTCACATCAATGTTCTCAATCTATCCCTTTGTGTAAAATTGGTCAAATGAGCACTACTATTTTTTAGCTTCCAAGTTGATGGCTTGCGGATTTGCTCACCACGTCTTTGAGTGCTTGTCTACAATATCAGACATGTTAGGGCCCCCCCCCCAAAAAAAAAAAAAAAAAAGCTGTTACCTGAACATATTTAGATGTAGGATTGTTTTGTTGGCAGCAAGATGTAGAACTGTGGTCTATTGAAGGATAAATCTTAGAGAAGGAAACAAGAGAGGGCAACTGTCTTGAGTGAAGAGGAACTCTGAAACATTTTAATTCAATCACCAATGGCTTAATAAACAAAACTGACTACCAAAGAATGCTATTGGATTACTTGTTAATCTCCACAAATCATCAAATTATTCTCTGCATCTTTGCCTTCGTTGTGTCTTTGCTGTGTGAGGATATGGTATATGAAGAGTTTAGATTATTCATTGTTTTGTCTTCATGTTCATAATTTTCCAATAAATTACTTGGTTGCATTCAATCTGAGAGGCGCTATCGGTGCTGGAGAAGAACCTAGTCACAAACAGCATAAGAAGAAGCAGGGCAAGAGAAAATGATAAAGGGAGGGGGAAAAAATACAAAGATTGGCATTTTTTTCTCAGACAGGTTTCTTTCTAAATTTTTGTAAAATTTTAATAGCCAGTGGAGGATAAGCAAGTTAAATGGTGAGTTGTCAAAAAAGTCCATGTGGTTATATGTTGGAAAACTGTACATAAATGGCCTAAGCAAAGGCAAGGTTGTTTTTTTCTTTTCTTTTCTTTTTTAAAGGAAACATAATTTTGGATCCCTGTACTTTGCTCAAATTTTGCTATAGGTCCTTGTATTTTACTTGTATTTTGCCATAAGTCCCTCTATGCTCATGGAAGGATTTAGAACACCAAAAAACAAAAGTATATGAACTTAAAACACTAAAAAAAAGTGCAAGGACTTATAACAAAATTCAAATAAATTGCAGGGATCCAAAGTTATATTTTTTCCTTTGTTAATATATGTATGTATGTATGTATAGGCAAATAATAGGTGTCTGTATTAGGAAATTATCTTCCTTTTATCTCCCAGTATGTGTAATGACTCGTGAACATTTCTTCTGTCTGGTAGTAAATGTGTCAAAATGTTTTTGCGTGCACTTCCTTCATGCTATCTTGATAGTTTCATGAATATTGCACTTTCACAGGCAATCAGAAAACACAAGTTTGTCAACATTCTTGACAATCCAGGATCAGCTGATCTTAGTGCGTACGTTGATTTCGCTTCCATCAGACATTCTGCTGAGGAAGCTTCAGGTGCTTGTCCTTGTGCTGCAAATAATAATGCTGACAGGTATGATAGACTGAGGGAATGAGTTGAGGTCATACTAATATAACACATATGCAGGGGATGTGTCTGTCCATGGGCCAATTACTCAATCTCAATTGCTTGGTTCCCTTGGAATAAATTTCCGTGTTGAAGCGCTACTTCAGAACTGCACAGAAGAACAAGCTGAATCCTTAAAATCAGGATATTGGCGTCTTGTGGGTGATGGTGAAGCCCCCTTCTGGGAAGGACCTGATGATTCTGCTCCAATTGGCATGGGTACTCGTTATTTGGCCATGGCTATAGTGAACAAGAAGCAGGGTGTTCCCGTTCCATTTCAATAAAATGCAAGATAAAGATGTGGAACTGCGAGACCAACTCATCTGCTCTTCTCTTAAATTATGCTATTATAATTTATCAAGCCAAGAGTTTGTTTTCATTCTGGTCTCAGGTCCAAAAATAGAAGTAGTCATTCTGGTCGCAGCCGGTGTCTGTCCCGCGGCAGAATTGGTTTGGGTCATGGTGTTCGTTATGTGAAATCTGGACAATCCATGTCACAAATTTTATTTTATTTTTATTTAATATTCATTAAAATAAATTAGAAAATTTTAATAAATCTACCTTATCAGTCACCTGAATAATACAGATTTAATTTGGATAATTTAATTTTTATTTTTGATACCAAAAAAAATTTTTTTTATATTTTTTACAAATTTACTGTTTAGATGCACACGCTACAGTTTAAATTTAACATAATTTTTTTAGAATTTTTTATTTTAATAATAGTTATATTAAAAACAAAGATAATATCTAAACTAACACTTAAAAAAAATTAGAAAGAAGTTACAAATTAAAAATTTTAAAATTGGATTGTCTAAAGCGATTCTAAATAGTTAATTTATAAAAATTTTAAAAACTTGTAATATTAAATTAGGCCATAAGATGAAATACCTCATCTCTTCTTATATATAAGAGGTCTTTTACGGCATTTTGTTGTCCCTAAATATAAAAAGTTGTTAATATATTTTTTAATGAATGGATTATTATATTCTTATTAAATTAAAAAGAAAAAAAGATAAGTATTATCATTAATTTACTTTAAAAAAATTATTTTTTATTTACAATAATTAGAGAAAAAATTAAAATGTTGGTTGTGCTTTTAGTTATATAACCAACTTTTATTGATTTACGTAATTTAGTTAAAAATATTTTATATATAGGGATCAAGGGAATATGTATAATCTAGATTAAGGATAAAATAGATTTATTATTTTTTATAATTTTTATTTTAATAATTATAAAATAAAATATAAAATAAAACTTGTTAAAGATTTCTTATCACATGATAAGCACTCAAACCAAACTTGTCAAGTGACATCTTGATGACCCCTTTTTTTGGAGTAACCTTTTTTTTTTAAATTAAAATTGATCCAATACTACAAAAGGATTATAAGCTAGCCAAGTCGGCTAGATAATCTCCTTTTATTATCTACCATCTTAATACAATAAGGTGAGGTTGATAAAAAATAATATAACAGAAAATTATTAAAAGTTTGAGTAGCCAACAAGTGGGCACAAGTGTTAACCTCACTAAACATGAAATTCAAACAAATATTCGAATTCCTATAAAAAAACAATCTAGCTTGGTTGATAATTTATTTGTAAAGATGAAAAGTCATATCACTTCTAATAATCAGATTCAGCACTTCAATGCAATTGGTAAAGATTTGGAAATTACGAAGATTTCTCTCCCAACATAATTGTAGACCAAGGTAATGCCAATTACTTCAAAAATAGCAGGCAGGTAATTTCCTATATTTGCATTAAAACTACAAACCCGATTATCATTGTAGTCTCTGACAATGCCACCACACTCACGAACACTCTTTATAGGAGCCATCACATAGCATTATAATGTGGCCTTGTCCAGATGGTTGGATTTGATATTGCAGACTGGAGGACTTTTTCAGCACCTGAAGATCATTTCTGGCCTTATGTAGCCTTGCAAGCCCGCCGGGGCACGGGGGAAACTCTCTGCATCCTCGTCTGAGAAAGTTTTGTTGCATTCCCAGCATATACACCCAAACAGCACCTCCCAAGGAACTTGTTTAGTAATATCTTTTCCAATCTCATTTCTCATACTCCAGTTAAGCCAATCCTCTCCATTCAAGTTTTTGATTGTAGTTATTGATTTTCAATTGCTATTGATTTATCTGAGTTGACAGTAGTTATTCTCTCGTAATATTGACTCAAAATAAGACAGAAATTTGTCTAATCTGTGTTAGACCTGGGAAAAATGTTGCTTACGTGATAACTAATTCTTAAGAGCCGCAATAATAGTGTTTAGGATTGAGCAAGGAAAGTTTTACTAATCTAAATACCTCTGCACGTAAAAACTCTCAACAAATCTAATTTTTCACCGTTCGTGCAACATGTAGAAGTAACTAATTTTTTTTTTTTTTGGGGATAAAAAAGCTAAGTTTTTTTTAAATATAAACATACATATTGTAAGAAGCAAAAACTCATGTTTGTATAACTACCTAATTTTCGTTGCATTCCTTTCCTTCGTTTTCTTTAATAAAAGTTTTCACTAGGGAAAAAAAAAACGTGATGGGGTTGAGATTAGGAAACAGCCTAACAAGCAAACAGCACTTCCCGAAACCCCCCGTGATGCCATCGTCGTTGACTTTGTCGGAGAATGTCGGTTGGTATCGGTTCACTTGTTCCCGCATCGGCGCAATGGCAGCTTGATTTTAACAACGTCAAGGCTTCCTTTTTTCTCATTTTGGATCTTTATTCAGTTCCATCTCTTTCGTTCTCTCATCCTCGCATTTTTTTTTTTTTCATCATGTGCCCCTGAATTTCCTTTGGTTTCTTTTCCCTGAATGATTATCATTGGTAGAGACCCGGCGTGGAATTCTTCATCATCCACGTCGATAAGTTATATTCTCCATGTGTCAGCCAATAGTTTCAATTTTCGTTCTATATTGAGCATCGTTGTCTATTCAGTCACATATTTGCCCTCTTCGTTTTTTCCCCTTTCTTGGGACACATTGGGATGTAGCTAATAAGTTCCAGGCAGAGGCGATGCCGACGTTTGTGTTGAAGAAGAAGCGAAAGGAGATGGATATAATGGTTGGGACGAGGAAAGAGGATAATGCATAACGCAGAGCAACACGAGCCACAGCCTACCAAATTCTTCTCTCTTCACTTCAGCAGCAATACCTGATAGGCTGTTGGGTTGCTCTGTGATGAACTTACGATATTGGACAACAACGAGCCTACAGGCTACAAGTTCCTCTATTAAATTTCATTCGTGTAAATATATATATATATATATATAAAACAAAGTCAAATACGTACAAGGGAATGAACAAAAATCCAATAATCTTCTAGAAATTTTGGGCTAAAAAAATTGGAAATTATGAATAATCACACAATGTATTAATAACCCCAGTTATGGAAAAGAGCATTCTCACATACAGGCAATAAGCTAATACTATTATTTAAACACATAACTGCTCATCAATGAACTAATGAGAACACCCCCAATGTTTTTTTTTAAATATAAATATATATATATATATATATCTACAACTACAACAGTAAGCAGATTGTCCACCAAAACTGGAAGTGGCCATTCAAATTTCATATCCATTCTCACTCCTCAATACAGCAGCCTTCAACGCACGAATCAACCTTAGATGGAACGACGTGATCTCAGAAAGTGTATGCCTGCTGAATAGCATCGATGTCAAGGCCTTTCAGTCTAACCACCGACTCTACGTGGCCTTTTAGTGTATGGAGCTCTCTAAGTCTGAAACAACCAAACACCAAGGCAACATGAGTATTTAAGAGCCCCGAATAAACTGCGACATGGTTTCCAACATGAAACCAAACACGCTCTCAGTGTCCTATCCCATGAATCCATGATTGATTCCGTAGTTTTGGGCTTTGCATGTGATCAGCAAAGCAGAACTGGTAATAATAATAACATGCCACTTTGGTCGTACACACACCAGACACATACCTAGCAATCTCAGCTCGTCTCTTAGCTTCTTCAGCCATCTGATTGAGCTCTGCATGACTTGCACGTTCACTGAACATTTTGGTATCAGGTGGGTGAAGCCCATGGAGGGTCCTCTGTGCGTGTGCCCATTTAAGTTCACGTTCTTCCTTTCCAAAATCCTTCTTGCTGGTAAAAGCGATCTGCCAAACACATTTCATTCGGGGAAAAAGAAGTAAGCAACACCACCTCAGATACTGATCGAATTGCCTGTGTTTTGATCAGAACAAGAGTTCATACCTTTCGTTCAATGAGAAGATCCCAAGCCCTGCCGCTTAAGGCATATCGAATCACAAACTTGATAAAATCGAGAGGGAAATAGAAGATGAGGTTATAAAGCCAAACAATGCCAGCCCAACCCCATCCAATCCCTTCAATTGCAGCAAAACTCCAATTTGCATAAACAGCAATCAGTGTAGCTATCTGTAGAAGAACCATGAAGTGACAAGTCACTTCACTTTATGTTCATGAAGTAAGAGTGCTAAGAGAAGCAGGAAAAGATCACTCACCAGCTGAGCAACAACAAAAGCTGTTACAAGTAAGAGACCCGGACGCTCAACGAAAGACCAGCTCCGGGCTCGGGTAACAAATATGAGGGCCTGACTAATTATACTGACTTGCAGGTATATTGCTGACGCAAGTTTTCTAAAGTCACCCTCGTCCTTCTTTTGAAGGCTTGAAACCCCAAATGTACGCTGAAAGTTGCATGGTAAGTGTCAATGGTGGAAGGAAGAAGAAAAGTGCAGGTACATTTCCGAAGTTGAAAGACCTTCAAAGCTGCTGAAAGTAATAGCTCTTACAGGGAAGAAATCTGTTTTATATGCAGCCCAGAAGAAGATGACAGTCATCATAGCCAAATAAGCACCAACAATAATTCCAGTGGTAAATATCTCTGTGAGTTTCCAGCTATCTGGATGTGGAGATGGTCTCACCCTGTCCTTTGATATTGTCATAATGGTACCTGGTATTATACAGAAAGTATTATAAATGTATTATCAACAACACAGTGTGTTGCATGACTTCTCAGTAAAAGATGATCAGTGTAGAAAAAGAAAGATAACAAACCATCATTGAGGATAGCAATAATCAGCACCATGAATGGTGGGAAATCAAATTTCCATATGAGGGCCAATAACATGAAACCAAGCTGTCATAAGAGGAACTCTAAATTAGTAATCAGAATAACGTCTGCAGGAATAAAAGGTAAATCCAGGTTACAGACAACTTACCACAATACGGATTGTGATGGAGACTGCATAGATCTGTGCAGGAAAAAAAGAAGAAAAGAAAATATCAATTAATTTAAAATTGGAAAATATATTATAGTCAATGTCAGAATTATAACTGTAACACTCATAGTGGTTGAAAGGCATGATGACATTCCTAGAGAAGAAACTAACCCCCTGTGCCATCACATTATGGATGCAAATGACTCTATGGCTTCGCTTTGCATAGAGCATTGTCAAGTACATACCCAATACATTCAAGTGCCACATTCTATCTCTCAATTTGGAAATGACTCATACTATTCTCATAGTTTGATCAGAATACCTCAGTTAAATTGATAGTATTTAATGCAAACTTACTGTGTAATTCTTCATCCTCTGGAATATGGCTCGACTGGTTAGGACAGCACTTATGATAACGCTCAGACCTGGTTCTGTCAGAACAATATCAGAAGCACTACGAGCTGCATCAGTTGCATCAGCAACAGCTATTCCAATATCTGCTTTTTTAAGAGCCGGGGCATCATTAACCCCATCGCCAGTCATTCCACATATGTGTTTCCTAGCTTGTAAGCGCTTTACGATCTCATATTTGTGCTCTGTATCAAATAAAAACCATATAGTCAGTCAAATAATAATCAAGCGCAAGACCACATGTAAAGATCCATCATTATCATCCTATCCAAATATCTTTGCCACAGGAAGAAGTCATAGTTCATGGCGTCTTATTAGTTCCAACTAGTTGCCTCTAATAGGTAGATGAAGGAATCCATATTGTTGTTACTAACACAGTATTGTCATATTTCCTATTAGACTTTGAAAAGTTTTAGAAAAAGAGGTGTCCTGTACCAGGGAAGACACCAGCAAAACCATCAGCTTTTTCAATCATTTCATCAACTGGCAAAGTATCAATTGCTGGGTCCCTGTTTTGTCCCAATAAAGCTGATGAAGGGTACATGTTGATTCCCATCCCAAGACGGCGTCCTGTTTCCTTTGCTATTGCTAGTTGATCACCTAAAGCAAATTGGTGTACATCCAGATATCATTGGAAAAGAATGAAAATATATCAAAACAATCAAACTGATCCATGTGAGCAAGATGGTGATAACTGAGAGAAATTCATGTGCCTGAATAATTTTAACACATGCATAGATCTCTAATGGTCATTTACAGACAATGCAAGCTATTTTTTTAAAAAAATAAAGACGACGTCTAAATCTGATAATACTTGAGACTTGAAAGCAAAAATTGAAAGAAACAACATTATTTTTGTCTTTCTTATTACCGTTGCGCATTCATCTATAAGATTTAAGAAATGTCTTATTGTCAAGAAAGAAAAATGATGCACCGAATGCAAATCAGGTTCTCAAGTCTCAACTAAAGATACTGAAAACTTATACAATGGAGGACCATTTCTTTTAGAGCAACTGGTTTAACTCTTATTAACGTTATGTTGTATGCCATAGCAGTTCGATCCCTGCAGTTGTTAAAATCTTCAGTGCACATTTTCAATAGTAAAGTTTATAAGCCAGACTGAATCTATAAATAATCGGACAAAACATATTGTGAAGATCTTCAGTCACCGGTATAAAATATATTCTGTGTGTCCATTTATTCATTAATTAAACCTAAATGTCAACATCAAGTGGCAAAGATGCACCTGTTATCATCTTAACATTTACTCCAAGATTCAATGCCCTTCGGATTGTCTCTGCACTGTCATGCCTAGGTGGATCAAACAGAGGCATGAGGCCAATAAATTGCCAAGGCCCTCCGGGGCTCTCCTTCCTTCCATCAGGAACTTCCTAATAAATAATGACACAAGCAACATGCAATGTGACCTGACCTCAATATATTTTTCCTCCCTTCAACCTTGAAAAAGCATATAAATCACACGTACCTCGTAGGCTACCGCAAGAGATCGTAATCCTCTTTCTGCAAATTTATCAATGACAGTATGAACTCTACGTTCTATCTCTGATTTATTGTGTGCAAGATTCAAAATCTGACAAAGAAATTGAAGGTATGGATCACTTCAACTGTCACAAAGAAGCATCAAACAGAGGGAACCTTCAGGTGGCTCGCAATTATACCTGCTCTGGTGCGCCTTTGCTGACACGATGCATTTTACCGTTACCATCTATGTATGTCAGAGCTGTCCTCTTATCAGTTGGATTGAATGGAAGGAAGTGAACCTCTTGAATACCAGCCCTTGCCTTGTTTGTTGACAAAACTAAGATACGTGAGTGTGTGGTAAATGAAGAAAAGAAAACCAACCAATGTAACACTATATCAAGTGAGCAACATGAATCAAAGCTTGCATTTTCAACACTGAACAAAAGATGTTTCACCATCAATAGACATACCTCTTTTGGATCACTCAGCATCCCTACAATAGCAGTATCTATTGCATCTTGGTTTTCCACTCTAGAGGCACGAGCTGCCATGAGAATTACAGTATCTTTGTCAACTCCTTTTGCACAAACCTGCAGAAAAGAGTATGAGATAAAACACTTGTGCACTAGTCTTGAATGAAGAAAATCAGAAATCAACACCATAAAGAACTGAACGCCACTAACGTCAATAAGATTTCTGTCAACTGTTAACTTATTCAATGTCAAAGTTCCCGTTTTATCACTGCACAATACATCCATGCCTGCCATTTCTTCTATTGCTGTCATTCGTTTAGTAATAGCGCCCTGAAATAATGGTGCAAAATATGGGCCAAGGATCTTATCAGTGAGTAGCTGGCAACTCAAAAGGTTTAACCTTTAAACAACAAATTTGCAGGATCACTTTGGCTAGCTACCTGCTGAGCTAGACGATGGGATCCAATAGCCATTGTCACGGACAAAACAGTGGGCATCGCTATGGGAATTCCTCCAATAAGAAGCACCAACAGATTATCAATTCCAGGACGATACTTCCGATGTTGAATCGGGTACATGACAATAATCTCTATCATCATTCCCACTGCAATTGAACAAATGCAGAAATTCCCAATAGCAGTCAAGACCTGTTGATGGAATCCAAATAAGTGTCTGAGAATAAGGAATTCACATGAACTAGCTAAGAAGGAAACAAAGAGAGCAAAGGAGGACAGATAGTTATAAACAACGCTAAGTTCCTCATCAAGTCATCAAATATGCATCTGCGAACAAAAATGATGTTCCAGCAAGGTTGAAGATGATTCATTGTAATATTTTTTTTCTTTTTCATGAGTACCTTTTGAAAATGCCCCACTTGATTTGTTGTATCTACAAGATGAGCAGCCCTGCCAAAGAAGGTATGAACTCCTGTCGCAATAACAACTGCTTCTATCTCCCCCTGTTTGCATGTAGAGCCTGAATATACACTATCACCAGGTCCTTTCGTCACCGGAAGGGATTCGCCGGTAAGTGCAGACTGAAACCCAAGTTGTGCATATAATAAACTCAGCTGGTCCATATGATGATCTCTTTTCAACTTTTCAACACAAAGAACAACAGAGGTTGCAAAATGTACCTGATCAATCTTCAAAGGATCACCATCAAGAAGACGAGCATCAGCTGGAATAATATCTCCGAGCTTCACACTAATTATGTCGCCAGGAACAAGAATACTTGCATCCTCCTCAACCCATTTCCCATCTCGAAGGACCTGAAGCATTTTATCAGGAATCAAAACAAAAACACATGACAGCAGAGACATAAAGAAACCGCTTTAAACTGACACAAGTTGATTCTGATACGTAAGAGTTACCTACACCTGAATCCACATAGAAGTGCTGGTATAATTAATTATTTAATACCTTTGCTTTGGGTGCTAGCCGAGCCATAAGAGCTGCAGCGGCATTACCTGCATTGTTCTCCTCTATGAAACTTATTGTCGAATTGATTAGTAAGAGTGTGATGATTCCGACGAAGTCTTGCCAATCGGGAGGCTTCCCCTGAGTCACAATCAGGAATTGTGAAACACATTCAACCATGTCTGAAGACTCTTCTAGAAGTACTTGAATATAAAATGTTGACAACAATTTCCTTCACAAAAAGAATAAGAAACTGAGGGAGAAGGAGCTTACTCCTCCGTTGGCCAACGCAATGGCCATGATTGCCGCAGCTTCCATGACCCACGAGAGAGGATTCCACATGAATCCTAAGAATTTCAGAACCTTGCTTTCCTGCAAAATCCAAAAAATATAAAACCCAGAAACAAAAATAACAGGAATTTGGGCACAGACTCCATTTCTAGCTAGACTCGGCTCTCTCGGAGTTCACTGACAAGTGACAAAGAATCAATCTTTGTTCATCAAGAATCGAGAAAGAAGAAAAATCGTTCCTTGACGTCAAAATTCTCCCGCTGACAAGAACTGGTAGCACAAAGAAATAAAGAGAAAAAAAGAGACAATAAATTAAGGAGAAAATTTAAGACCTGCTTCTCCTCAAGTTTGTTGTGTCCAAAAATGGCCAACCTCTCTTGAGAAGCTGCCGTTGTAAGCCCATTTCGATCACATCTCAACGTCAGAAAAACCTCCTCAAGCGGTCCGTTTTCCTGCAACGAAATCCCAGCCAATGAAAATCTCGGAAGCAGAGCCTCAGAACACAGAGGGAACAGAGCTTGAAAATCCCAACGCCAAGAACAACAAAATAAAACCCAAGAGCCTCACCAGAAAGCACAAGCATGACACAAGCACAAAAATAAAAACAAGCATCAAACATTTCTAGAAGCGATTTACAAAAATATGGGGAAAGACAGAGAAGTGAATTGCTCTGTTTTTCTGTACCAAGTCCACAGCTTCCTTCAGCACCGCCTTCAAGGCTTCGTCTTTGTCAGCCATCTCAACAAGAACCGAGTGTCTGCGTTTAGGTACTCTACAATGGCAAACAAATTCAATTTATATGACAATCAAAATACACTGATAAAATAAAAGCGCTAAACGATCCTCCCTCTTTGTCTCTCCTTCGTCTCTTCTCGCTTCCAGGTTCTCAAAAGCTTTCTTTTCCAGTCATGTATAACTGACTTGGCCGTAAAATATAGTGCACGTAATCCGTAATCCCGTGTGTGCATATATACCAGGAAATTTAGAACAAATATTACAGTAAATTGCTGGGAGAATTACCTTTAAGTTTACACAAAAAAAAAAAAATTATCGCAACATTCATTAACAATGAGCTAAATTGTATTGAGTATTGACGGCATTTAATTGTAATTCTTCCTAAATTATATTATATAATAATAATATAACAACAATCATTTTTGTTTTTTTTTAGAAAAACACAATTATTCATCTGTGTTTTATTTTTAATTTCTGTAATCTTTTTCAGCACTTTTAATTTTTATAGTTCCACTACAATTGTGTGATGTTTATTTTTTAAATCCACGTTAAATTACAAGGAATATAAAAATTGAAAATTAAAATAAAGCTTGAAGAGATTATTAAAAATAAGTATGCTTTTTTTTTTTCAAGAAAAAGAGTGGATTTCCATTCTTAAACTGTACTCCTCTAGTTTTATATATTACTTACCTTCTAAAAATATAATTTAATTTATTTTATGAATTATTAATTGATAGAATTATTTTATTTTAAATTGAAATTTGTAAACTACCTTTTAAGAAGTAAAAAAAGTAAAAAAAATAATATTACATTATTTATTTATTTTTTCTTTTTAATTTAATATTGTATTTAAAATTTTATTTATTTTTTATTTTTTATTATATTGATATTGATAAATTTGATGGAGATTATTTATAAAGAAAATCACACGGGAAGGCCGAAGGTTCTGGCAAGATGGCTGAGGCTTCCTTCTGTTTGTCGTAAATCCGGATGTGGCAGCTTATGGGGAGCTTTCTGCTCAGTCAGATCATTCGTACTGGTATGGTACGATCTGTTTGTTTTCGTTAAATTAATCATCAAGAGAAATATAAATATATATATACATATATACATGTAGTAAAGCACATCAAAATATTATAGACCTTCAATGTTGTGCTTTGCTATTTTTTAATATTTGTTTAAATTTGACTTAAAAGAATAGTTGATAGATATTTTATTAAAAAAATATAAATATAGGATCCATTAAAAAATAAAGAAATGAGTATTCGACGTACCATGTTAAAAAAGTAAAATTAATACTAGACCCATAACTTAATTAATAAAATTTATTTATACAGGATAAAAATATTGATAAATAACATATACTTCCTCTTATATGTATAGTGTTTTGAGTGTAACTTGAATAATTTTTAAATAATACTCACTCTCTTTGGTCCTATTTATAGAGTAGAAAGAAGATTTTTTAATTCTATTTATAAATTATATTTTTAAATTTTTATCATAAATTTTTTATTTTAATCTCTATTGAGTTTTAGAAATAAAAAATAAGTTGTCAATTATGTATATTTAATAAAGACAAAGTTAAAAAGCTTATTAAATTTTTAGATGAAATTCATAAATTTTAAAAATTTTCTTAATAAAAAAATAAAATGAAAACTTGTATATAGTTAATGTATTAAATAAATAATTTAATCAATTTTTTAAAATAGAATAAAAATATTTAAAATTAAAATAAAATAGAGGAGGATGAAGTAGAAATTGTTCATTAAATTTTAAAGAAAAGTGAGCGTACCTGAAACCTAGTAAAGAAAAGTGGGTGTGGGACATATTATTAGAAAAAAATGTGAGATAAATGTAAAACTCATAATTTAATTAATAAGATTTATTTTCACATGAAAATTGTTTTTATATATATTTTCATTTATAAATATCAAAAATGTAGATAAGATGTAAAAAAAATCAGATTTTTATTTTTTAAAAAACCATGTAACATTCATGGTAAAAATTAGTAAATGATGTACGATTCTTTGTAAAAATAATATATAGGTGTTATATGTGCAATAAAATTAAAAAACAATATTTAGAAAAAGTATAAAAAGTACATAGATAGTCTGATGAGTTTTATTTTAAAATTTAATTTGATCAAAATAACAAGTTATAAATAAAATAATTTATTACTTTTAAATTTTATATGTATAAGACAATAAATTATACTAAATTTTAAATAAAAATAAGCATACATTATGTTGACTAATCTATTTCTTATTATATTAAATTCATATTCCGTTAATTAACCAAAAAAATTCATATTATATTAAGTTTTTTTACATATATATTTGAAATATTATGTTAGCAAATTTATATATTTAAATTTTTAAAATAAAAAATAAATAAGTTTTATAATTATTAAATTTAAAAGCATACATCATTTAAATGTTTTAGAGTAACATGAATGATTTTTAGATAATATTTATGTTTAAAAAAGTTATTTTAATTCAATATATGTCACTTAATTGTCAACTTGATGGATGAAAAATAAAAATTAAAAATATAGGGAATGATTGTATTTGTATCTATTAATTTTAAAAAAAGTTTGCATATATTTTAAAAATAGAAAAGAAGTATATACAATTAAGATAAAATAGAGGGAGGACGACATATTCTACTTTAAATTATAAATAATCTAAAATCATTTTTAATTTTTATGACTTTTTTTTTTTCTTTTATATACTAAAACATTCTTGTGCATCACACGAGTATTAAATCTAGCTACTTATTCTATACACCTTCCTATACTAAATACTGTAACATCCGAGAAATTTAATCATAGTTAATTAATTTAATTAGAACGATTAGTGAATTGATGAGGTATGTGGCCAGAGGGGCTTGATTAATGGACTTGGCTTTGTTTTCAACCCATAATACGGGTGCGGATTAATGGTGAGCCACTTGGGTAAGAAAAAAAGAAGAAAAAGTAAGGAGAAGTCATTTGTTCCATATACCGTGGCATGTGGATAATCCGCCATAGCACACAAAGGCAGATTTACATGCATTGGGCCTCTTTGTGTCATGCACCGTAATGTGTACATCGTCTGCCACAGCATATTGCCAATTTTTGTAGAATATCAATCACAAATCAAGTCAAAAATTAGAGAAAATGAGATAGAAATCGAGAACTAGCGACCTGAGCTCTGCTAAGGTTTACCTTTAGACGACATTGAGAGTATTTTAGAAATTACAAACACCAAAGGTAAGTATCATATTCATTAATCTCTCACTTTCCTCCACATTTGTTAAGATTTATATTAGGGTTTAAGTTAAGAGATTGATTTTCAGTCCATAGAAGTGGGTTCGAACCCATTAGTTAAAATGGATACAATGGGAGTGATTTGAGTTAGTTCAAATTAATGATTTTATCAAAAGTTAGTTGGGGTGAGTTATTTTTATACAAATTTTTGCAATTAATATAGTTGTTGGGAGTGTTGGCGGCTCATTAATGGTGGTTAAAGACTCAATAATAATAATGTGGGTCAATGAAACTTAGTGAACCCATTGAGTATAAATGAGTAGTAAATTTTAAGATTGACTAAGTAGGGAATGTGAAGTTATGGTATTGGAATTTGCTACACATGGAATAATGATGATATCATTATTATATAATTGTAGAGAATTCATTTTTAGCACCATTCAAAACCTGAGAGAAGCTTTGGAAGTGAATTATGTGAGGGGTAAACCTTTGATCTTTTAAAGATTTGAGGTAATCAAGACAAATCTATTTTATATAATTGTATGTTAATTCAATTGTTGTTGAAATTGATGCTTTGAAACTTGTTTGGCATTAGAAAGTGATAGATGAAATTTTGGCAAGTGATGGATTGTATGTGAAATTCTTTTGAAATATACAAAACCATTTGCATAAGGCATATATGTGTTTTAATGATGATAGTTTATAATATGCCATTGTGAAAATGATAAAAATGTACTATAAGTGCTGTCTAGTATGTGGAGTATAATCGAGTGAGAAAATGAAATGTGTTATGATATGATTGGTGACTAAATTACATAAATATGTGATAATGTGCAAAGCATAATCATTGGCGAGAGTTCACCTAGAGAGAAGAATAATTAATTAAATCCACGTGGTATTAGTAATAACTATTGATATTGAAAACTTGCCTTGGCACTGACCGTTAGAATTGGGAGGTAACCCTTGTCCCATAGTTGATTTGTGATTGTCTCATTTGTTTTACGAGGGAATCAAACTTAACTAATCTCTACCAGTTCACGAGGAGGCTAGATTAAGGTTATGACACTCCATGGTTGTTAATATTGAGAGAACCAAATTATATAAGTGAGTTAACCTTGACTCGATAGCTCCTCACAATTAGAAAGCTAAGTTATTTTGTGAAAGATACAACCACTAAATAGCCACCGGTTTCATGTCGAAGGTAATATGAGGGTATAATGTTAGCATTTGATCATGCATTTAAATCCAATCATATAGTTGTTACTATTATAATCCAGTATATGTTTGAGGTGTATAGTTGGTATTATTGCAACCCTCATGATGTGCATTAACATTATGTAGATGTGTGTGCATGCGTGCGCATGCTTTGGGCCTATTCACATAGTTGTTCGTATTGTGAATCATGGCCAAGTCTATCATAGATGATGTAATTGTGTGTTCCTGCCTATTTTGCATCTGTTTACAACTAATATGTAACTGTATAGATTAAGTGAAACTTAGTTTTTAAGTGGTTGTACTCACCCCTCAATTCTCAATATTTTCAAGGTCTAACTCATTGAATTCAAGTTAGGAAAAATGCATAGAGGCTAGGATTTGTAGAGTAATCTTTTTACATGCCTCTCCTTGTCATTTTATGTGTATAAATGTTGATTCAATTGCTAACTAGGTTTTATGTGATTATTTTTATACTATTTGCATTATTATAACATATAACTTGCATATTTTGTACTCCAACTTAGTGAGTTTTAGTTGTAAACCTTGAGATAGGGTCAAAATATTTATACAAGTAGGAATATATGTATTTTAAATTATTGAAAATGAAATTGATTGTTTTGTGCAAAGTTTTCCTCCGCCTTGTGTTTTATGAAATTTGAGGTTAAGTGATGATTTTAGGTTATATGTGTATTTGGTTGAGTGTAGTGTGCTACACAAGTTCACTAGGATTCATTAAGT